TATATATATATATATATATATATATATATATATATATATATATATATATATATATATATATATATATATATATATATATATATATATATATATATATATATATATATATATATATATATATATATATATATATATATATATATATATATATATATATATATATATATATATATATCATCCTAACCATCATTGTCGTTTTCGGCATTTAAAGGCCTTTAGCTATCGGTCGGTCCATTCTTGGGCGTTTGGACGATTTCCGAACTCTCGCATACCGTACGGTGGTACCTACCACCTCCGTCAGGTATGCATGAACATCCGAACTTTATTACGTCACAATTTCCTGTCTCTATCGGATGAAACATGTGACTTCAACTCTTCCAGATTCCTACTCATCAACTCGTAAATAATATGACGCGATATATCATATGAATCATCTGAATTTTATTAATTACACGATAACAGTAATGACTGTATATAGTGATGATAATAAATCGCCTGTCTTTGAAAAAAGGCTTTTGCATGAAATATCAATTTTACAGGTAAGATATTCAATTATAATCTCTGTTTTCTGAAATAAATTATGAAAATAGACAGAAAGATGTATGTGTACTTGATACACACGCACCAACACAATACAGACAGATACACGCACAGTCAGTGGAAAACGAACCACTCGATAGAGAGACAGACAAACAGTTGAACGCAGATGATGTGTATGTGAATGGAGCGTAATCTTGAAAGAAGTACTGGAGCGGGTAGGATGAGGACATCATGTTTAATGTACCGAGATGCCTTTACTTGACTATGCCGATAAATGATGTGAACATATACAGATAACGGTATAATATTTATTTACTTATCATAAATAAATGAATATATATATATATATATATATATATATATATATATAAAACATACAAAAAGCGTGTTTGAATTTGAATTACGACCATGCTTAAATGTGGAAAGTTTAGCAGTCGAAACTTTTTACAATTAAATCATTTTCTACGTCATGAAATCACTTAAATAACATTTTCAACCGATGAATAAAAAATTGAGTCAACAGAAAAATTGAAATGAATTCAGAATTTAAAACAAAAAAGTGATTGAAAGGAATGAGATATTGTACTGTTCTCGTGTTGTCATATGACAACCATCGATCTATGAAAGCCACGGACGGAATTGGATCATAATTAAATGCATTCTTTTTATACATTCGTATGAACAAATACACAGACAAACGTACATATGTAGTATCATTGCATACGCCCATGATTAGGTACCCATGCTTATCTTTAAAAGTTTGATCACTTCACATTTATTAATGTTAGGTATTTATATTAATATGGCGCCACAAAATTAATCTAAAAAATGTATGCACACAAGTCAAATTGGATTTATAATGAGCGACTACACGATGCAAACGATGCAAACGATCTAGCAGTTTCCATAGCAAAACTGAAAATTGGGCCGACTGATTTTTACGTTTTTTGTCAAAAATTATGGAACGAATGTCTTCCTCGTGCATCAATCCGGCACATTGAAAGATTTCAAACCGGATCATCTTTGATTTGAGACAGACATAGGTCTACATGCAGTTTACAAGCCAGTACTTGTAAAAATCTTTCGTTTAGAATATACACGTATATAGATTTATGGATAAATTGATGGATGTATGAATAATTTTTTTGAAATGAAATATTTGAACATATGAAAACCACACAACACACAAACAAAAGAGTCTCTTGAAAAAAAAATCACAATTTGCTGCTTCAAAAAAAATTAAAAATACTTCAGAAAAATATTCATAATTTAATTGAAAAATTTAATAAAACCGTCTTCAATTAATTTACAGTCGGATGTGTCCATGGTCACAATAACGTTAAAATTTTAACAGAATTAAGAGTGTACTTACTACTTTTATATTTCAGACATAATGGTTAAAAAAAGTTAATGATCGAAATTAACGTTGCTAACGCATCAATTCAATGGCGTTAACATTTCAGTTCTTGGCTGGTTAATTTGGTAACATATAATATTTCAAATTCACTCTTAACAGACACTGAATTTATTTCTAAATGTTCAGTTTAACAAGTTTTCATGATGCTAATAATATATGAAAATTAACAAGTTAATTCAATGAAAATTGAATTGTTTATTTATTCATACGTTATTATGATTGATGGCTCCTTAACTAATTACGCTTTGTTGGTATTAAAAAGTTATTATGATAGCAATTATTTTTACACCATTTGCATCCGCGTTCACTCTTTTAAAATGAATGTACGTTTTTGTTATTTTCTTCTTAATTTATAGCGGTGCTGATTCAAAAATTTCAGTTCATAAAATTTCGAAATTGGGATGGAGAAGGTTGCTATTGTAAATAATGCAGAGGACTTGCTTCATTCAAATGAAGTGGTTGGTAATAATAATAATAATTAAAAAATTTTGATTTCATAAAAAATTTGCTTTTACAATTAACTGCATAAATGAGAGGTTAGTTCATACTTTTAATGTTAAGGAGGATGAAGTGAGGCGCTTCTTCGAGAAGGTGAATGAGAAAAAGAAGCGGGAAACCTGGTCGGGCATTTTGGAAGTTTCAGGCGAGGAGAAAATTTTGATGACAAAAAATTTCGGCGATCAGCAAGAACATGAGCAGCAATTGGTGACGAGCAAACCACAAACGAAGGAGAGAATAATGAGGTCGCGGAGTGGTAGGAAGGAGAACGAATACACCAGCATGATCAAACGACCTAAAAGTGAGTTTCATGATAAAATTGAAAAGAACACCAAGAATAGAGTAAGTTTGAATCTGCAATCAGCTGGCAACTGTGCCGACATCATGCCTGCCATCGATGACAAAAATACTAGCTTCAACCAAAATTTTCTGTTCAAAGTAAGTTTGGCACTCAATATGGTTGAAGTTTCATATCACGTTAAAGAATATTTTCATTATTTACTAGGGAGAAGAATTGGTTTCGGACCCAACCTCACCTTGCTACGGTGCAACGCTGCTATTCAAGGGGTTTTTTTTAATAACATTATACACATATTACCTATTTCAAACATTCAGTGAATCACGCACAAATATAAACAAATAAATATTCGTGGTTGTTCACAAGTAGCTAGAGCAAATTCTAACGTAATCAAATGCCTTTCTTGTAAATTGTTATTCTTAATAATAATAAAAATAATAATAATGCACTATAATTGTGAGTGAGCAATATCAAAAAAAATGTAACCACACGAAGACTCAACATATTCTCATCTATTTGCTATCATCAAACATTTACTAAAATTATTTATTTATTTGTTATTTCAATTATAACAATCACATTCAGAAATATGTTTAAAAATATTCCTCTAGATTTCTAAACAGTTTCATCTTCGACTGTCGTGGCTGCGTTGCCCTGAGCAATCGACACGCTGGCATCAGGTTCATCATCCCATCCGGCAGAGTTAGCAGACCGACCAGGATCATGTGCAAGTTGCTGAGAGAAACTAAAGTTTCGTCCGCACCTGTACTTTGCGAAGGGGAAGGCCACGTTTGCAGGGTCCTCAAATTGTCCACTGATACTGTGTCTTTAAAAAGGCGAATTTCCTATTTTAACTTTGAATCGTGTAAACTTTGTTTTTATTAATTCAAAAATTATTAAACGGTTAAAACTTAATAAAACTCATTACGCGAGGATTTTATTTCATGATTCTTACGTTAACCAGGCCAATGATAATTGAAGTGCCTCACTTTGGATCTTTGAAGAACCACGAAAGAGAAATCGTTGTGATGAAAAGTTTTGACGGCAACAACTGGACAGAACATTCATTCACTCTCGATTATAAAAGCGCCGAAGAGTTCAGAATTATTTATACTGGTTAGTATGCGGCGGATGAATATTTTTTAGTCATCAAACAAAATATTTTTAATTGCATTTTACGTTAGATATAAAGTTTAGTTTTATGGAAAATAAAACATTGAAAAATTCAGAACTATATTAAAGACCATTAACCACCTATCGACAAATTGAGAAACTGATTTGTGGGGTTTAGTATTCCGTGTTATAATATAATTTAGTTAAAAAATGTTTACTGAAAAAACAAATAATGGTTATACGTTAATATATTATATAATGATATATTATCTCTAAAGTGGTTATCACAAATTCATTTGTTACAATTATTTTTGAACACAATTTTATACACTAACATCTAATGGTTCCACATTTCCATTAAGATCTGGAATCGGCAGAGAATATTTTCGAAAGCTCGATTGTCCAGATATGCACCCTGGACGTACCCGCCTACCTGGCCCTTATATCTAGACCTAAAAAAAATACTAAAGATATTGGGCAAGATGGTGGAGTTATTATGTCATCGGTCGTCCCTAAGGTGAAGGTCACCTTTCCTGAAGGGGCTATCACCAAGACAACGAGTGTTGGTGTTCAGGTGAGGTTTGTTGATGGGATGTTCTAACATGGAGAAGCAAATGTGAAAATAATAATAATAAATAATAATAATAAATTGATCATTTATGAAAAATGGCAAAAAATAAATTAATAGTGGTATATTGCATCAACAAAAGTTGATATTCAATTGAAATCAAAAGGTAACAAAGGTTATCCCCGACGATTTAGCTGAAGACGACGAGCATCATAGTAATTCTTTTAGCTCCATTGTCTCAATCGAGCCAAGGTGCCGAAAGTTCCATAAAGACATCAAAATTGAAATGCCGCTGCCTGATTTTGTTTCTTTTGTCAATGAAGCCGAAGAGAAGAAGTATAAAAATAATCTCAAACTGTTCTGCAATTTAATGGGTAAGTTTATTTTTTAACTTAGTAATTTTATAAACGGCTGTAACCTTTTCATCGCGTTATCCTCATTGAATCTATTTATGACATTTGAAAGGTACATTTTGGACTGACGTGAGCGATTCAACACACATCGATATAAATGATGGGGTGGCCAGATTCACTTCCAACGTATCAGCTAGGTTTGTTTAAATTAAACAAATTAAGTTAAAAATTTAAGTAAAAATAAAAATAATTGAAAATATTTAGTTAAATTTATTAACTTCATTTTAACAGATTTTGTCTTGTTAGACTTAAAAAAGACAGCAATAACCTTGTAACTCTTTCGAAATATCTTTCAACGTTATACCAACAATCCTCTAAAATTCCTGTTTTGGCGAGATTTGCCGTTTTTGGTAAGAGAAATCCCCCCTTGGAGAGGAACGAATCAGAACTTAACATTCTGTGCGTCACGGAACGAGATGGAAGTTTTGATCTGCAAAGAAACCTGGGTTACCATGAGCTTGCAAACGGACCTATGGTTGAGGTAATTTGTTAACAGATCAAACTGTGATTTTGCTAAAATTAATTCAATTAAACTTTTATATTATTTTCCACTGTTAAATATTAGTAAGGGTTGTTAGTGATATACTCATCAAAAAGTAGCGTTGCTACTGCTGTTACATACAAGTAAGAAGGAGCACCGTTGATTTTAAAGGTGGAAAGACTCTTCAACAAATGTAGGAAGGCTGCGGCTAGGAGTGCTTATAAGTTGCAACAATTAGCAGAAACCTCCCTATCTACAATCCGATTTTTAGTAAACTGAACGTTATGAAAATATTATTTCATTAAGAAATTAATATTCCAATAAGATAGTTCATTAGTAACATTATAAACTCATCATTTGAAAAGGCTTGAGCTTAAATTATATCAGGAAGTTCGAGCAACACCAAACAGACATTGTACGTTTTACTTTCAGAAGTGTAACTGGGACATCCTCTTCATGAATAGATGTTGCAAATCATTCCTAAGTTTTTGATAAACGCCACCAGCAGTGATGATGATGATGATATTTGTTAAACGCAGGAAATTTTTAAGTAATTTTGAATTTAAGTTTTAGTAGTTAATAATTGCACTAACTGCTGAAACATTTGTGAAGGTTAACGACGGAACTCCTATCACCGTGACGTTGTCTGAAAATTTTGAAATTCTCAAAGTCAGCAAGGGCTCAAACAGGAAGATAATCGTTCCCAGCACCACGACAGCTTCAACGTCATCACTGGCCACCATTCAGCCGTCGGTAACATGCAGGGGAACGTACACGAGCAGAACTTCAGTCCCCATTCGAGCAACCGACCCTCAGTATTCAAGGAAAGGCAGTATAAGATTTTCATTCAGGGATGACAAAGGAAAAATAGAAAGCAAAGCTAAGGTTTTTTCATTTAGTTGCAAATTTGTAAATAACAAGCTACATGGAATGGTAATTTTCATTCAAAGTTTCCAAAAACATTTCAGGCTCTTCTGAAACAAATCATTCGCCATTCTATCGTGTCTCTCTCATCATTCTACGTTCACTATTTGCTATAATGAAGTTTTAATTTATTCAATGTGGATTATTGAATAATGTATTGCTTGAAAAGCAACTTGTCAATTTATTTCAATGATAACAATCTTAAAGAAAATCTATCTTGCTAACTGAATTCACAAATTATTTTTCTTTTATGCAAATGATATAATTGTTAACATTATTGTCATCAATATTGTATTTTTAAAAATATTGTCATCAGTATTTATTGTACCACAGCGTTATTTTGAAGATTCTAGTTTATAATCGCAAAAAATGTACATTACATTCACAAACACTGATTGGATTATTGATAAGTGGTGCTTCGAACTTGTCCATCCCCCAGCAGAGAAGGAGTAGGGGGTCCAGTTACTACGAAGACTGCATCCTCAGCTTCAGTCTGCCTGATCAAACAGCAGACATGAACATGGACCGATACAGAGTCCAACTGCCCAGCCAACAGTCCAGAGTAGTCTCCAATGGTTTACACGTTTTTCTACGTTCTTGGATCATTGCTTTGGTTTCGAAAACATAAATTTTTGTAATTAATTTTTATAAACCGACTTGGTTTACTTAAAACTATGACTTATAATAAAATAATAATCTTGGTATTCATCTGTATTTTACCGATTAAATTATAAAAAAATTTATTTAGTTTCAAAGAATAAAAGGAACACAAAATTGAAACTGACCTATATAGCGGAGCAGCTGAAATCTGATTGGACCAAATTAGCCCATTTATTGAATTTCAATCATGATCAAATTGAGAGCATCCAATCTTCTTTCGAATCCCCGGAGGAACAAGTACTTTGTTGTTATATTTGTAACCTATTTATTCTGTGGTAGATGGCATCTTTTAAACAGAACAAAATGTCGTTATTGACGTCATTCACTTTGATGTAATCATGTGATATGACATAAATATCGGTAACAAAATATTATTGTGTTGTCATGTTAATTTAGTTATTTCTTAAAACATCTTCATCATTTTATCACTTTCACAACCACCGCCAACATCACTACGCTATCATCCTCACTATTTCACTAACATCATCATCAATTCAGGCTTTGGTGTTTCTACAAACTTGGATTTCACAAAACAGAAAGAACGTAGATAATTCGAATAAGCTAGAAAGGACACTGAAAAAAATAGGTCGATATGACCTAGTTATGACAGACATATGCGTCGAAGAAGGTGATGATGTGAGTGCAAATGAAGAGCTCGGTGAAAGGGTGGGGAGGAAAAGAGATGAAGCCGAAGCTGATGACGAAGTTTGCGCCAACAGATATGATGACCAGGACCGCACGGAAGAACTCATCTGTGAAGGCGATGGAAGCAAATTCGTCGTTGACAACTACGTTGCAGCCACTTCAATAATAACTCCAGCAACAACAACCGTCTTCAACAAAATTAAATTTTCAGAAAATAAGAAGATTGAAGATGATGACGATATTAAGCTTAAAAAAATGGAAGAGGTGGCTGTTATTGGAAATGATGTAATTGTTAAAGAAAGGACTGAGCCAACGTCGAGAAATGTCGTTTGCACTGAAAACACTGTTCATGAACTAACTGACGTTAATAGAGTTAGTTATCAAGATGATGAGAGATGTTATGATAATGATGTTCACAAAACTCCTGACATCCAAAAAGAAAGGTTTATTGTCACATCGAATAACAATACGGCTCAAAGTTGCAACGATATGTTTGATGATGACGATAAAATGACGTCATTTGTGAGGACAGATGCTGGTTTAGCTGGCGAAAAACGTCAGGAAACATGTTATCACGACCGTGTATCAAGTGCTGAACCAACACCATCACAAATTAACTTGACAACTACATCGACAGTTATCAAAGTAAAAAATGATAAGAATTTTTGCAACGTTGGGTCTGAAGTGGATGAGGGAGTCATCGTGAAAGAATGTATCAAAGCGAAGACATCGTACGGCGTGTACAATGAAAACTACAAAGACGACGATGAAGAAAAAGAAGAGGAAGCATGTGTGAACGACACATCGATGGTGGTCGAGGATGTTGTTAAATCTGACTGCCGTGTCACTGATCAGTTTCATCAAATCATAGATAGTATTGCAAAGAATGATAATAAAAGCGACGATGACAACAACTTTTTTGAAAATTTTAAAAATATTTGTGAAACAACAGAGGCAGTGGAAGATGACGAGGCCGATAGGAGGTCGTTGATGAAGGTGACGAAGAAAAATTCAGTGAAGTTGGATGCTGATAGGGATGTTGTGAAAGTTATGAAGGCAAACGAGAGATGCAGTATCGTTCACACTGCTGACACTCAAAATTATGAAGACAATTATGCCACTGAGAGGAGTGATGCCATTGTTAATGTTGTTTATCATGAAGATGGTCGCGGTGCTGAGGCCAGTGATGTAGATGACGTGGGTGTCTATGAATGTTCTTTCGTTCGGAGGAGGTGTGCTGATGATTCTGATGACGTCATTGGAAGTAGTGACATCATTGAAGATAATAACATAACTGAAGAAAGTAAAGTAAAAAACATTACACAAAATGTCGAAATCAGTCCAAAAGTATTTAATGATGATTATAACGAAAAGGAAGGTAGTGTTGATATGAACAGGGAGCAAGTTGGGGTGGTTGAAGAGATTTACAGACTTCCACTTGACAGAGAGGGGCAGCAAACGTTTCGTTGCAGTAATGACTGGCAACCTGCCAGCAGCAGTCCAAATGTTGCCTGCTGCATGCAGGATGACCACGATTATGAAAAACTTGATTTCAGCCGTACCGAAGAGGTTAATAATTTTGCAGCTTATTATGACGACGACGACAACTATAACAAGGCGGTCAACGATGCAAATGTAAAAGTTGATGACGACGACAACAACGTGGATAACAAAATGGCGGATTCAAAACTGGATGATGTCGCAAGTGGAAGGAATGTTCATTTTGATCATGTTGTTATGATGAGTGAGAGAGTTGAGCCCTTGTATTCTAACGAGGAATTCCGTCGTTATCCAAGCGATCAATATAAACAAAATGATCTTCATCGTTTGGATGTTAAATCTGGTGTAATTGGTGATAATATTGTTTTAAATACTGACGCCAATAATTGGAAGGGAGGTGATGACCTGAAAGTTCAGGTTGACCCTGTCTCCCATAACGAATGCATCCATCTTGGCAAGCGACACAGTGCGGATCAACCTGAAAGTTTCGAGGAACTCTCTGCTAAGAAATGTTTCCAGATGTTTGGCGATGAAGATGATTACAAGAGAAGTGGTGGCAGATGCGTTGAGAACAAGGTGGAAACTGTCTTCCACTGCGAGGCGTGCAGTGAAAACATGTTACAGACGATGTTGGATGCCATCAGAGTAGAGGCTGAAAACGTTGTTGATTACAAGCGCTGCTACGATAACATTGATAGAAGAGATGGTGGTGATGGTGACGCTGACAGATATGATGGTGTCATTGATGAAAAAAATTATCGAGATGATGAAATGATGGATGGTAACGATGCGACCAGCATGGAGATAACTCAGGCCATTATTCGCCCGTCAAATTGGAAGGATGAATTCAATGATAATGCTGCTGCTGCTGATGATGATGATGCTGGAAGTAACGGCTCTGACGACGTTCGTGATAAGAATAGATGTGATAACGTTGGTGATGATGAGAATGTTGATGTTAGCAGCATTGAAGAAGCTGCTGCTGCTGCTGGTGGTGGTATGTTTGTGGCCTGCAAGTTCAAAAGAGAGGGGGTCGAAGAGAAGAATGGAAAGATGTTTGTCGGAGAGAGTGCTGATGTTGGTGGTGGCGATGATGTCACTAGAAATAATTTTGCCAGCAAAGTAGCTGATGACCATGATGACCTTAATGAAGGAGGTAGGTCTGTGCGTGTGGGACGTAGCAAAGATGAGAAGAAAGAAAGAGATGATCCAATCGAAAATTATGAATACAATATAAATGAAAAGCATGATGTTAGATGTAACGTTCATTATAGCGATGTGAATGATTCAGAAAAAGCAGGTTGCAGCAAAACAGTAGATAATTTGAGGGATGTAGGAATGGGGAAGAACCATACATCACTGAACATTCAGGATGCTGTTGCTGCTAATTATGCCACGATCGATACAAGTGCTGAGAGATGTTATCGCAATGCACCAAAGAATGATGATGAGGATAACAAAATTGATTACGATGGCTTCAACGTATCCTGCGATGTTGTGAACTATGAAGTCATCAGAACTGTCATAACTGTTAAGCAAAAAACAAAATGTGCGGACGGAAAATATGATGGTGACGATGAAGACGATGATAGTCTGACGAACGACATGAAGATTGATATCAGCAACATCAGGGGTTATGACAATGACGTGTCTCGTTATGAGGCTAGCGAGATAACCATCCGAGAAATGCTGTGTGCTGATTTGCCTGCTGAAGAGGCAACTGACATGATTTGTGAAATGAACGATGTAGAAGGGCAAGGCGACAAATTCATTTGTTTGCGAAATGATATCGTTAGCAAAGAGAACGAGAACATCAGTGTTGAAAGTGAAATCAATAACGATCTTTCTTATAAAATCAACACCACAAAGGACGATGAGTGCGATACAAACAACTTGAATATTATTGAGGACTACTATGCAGTTGTTAAAGAAATAGAGGGCAAGCAACAGCAGCCATCACGACAACATAATCATCCAGTAATCGAAGAATATGATGGTGCCAGCATTAACCTCTCCGAATTGAACGACTGCATAAAAGGTGCTGGCGGCCATGTTTGTTACAAATTTGACGTTAGCGACGCTGACGACGACGATGGACGCATTTGCAGTTACAATTGCAACTACAAAAAGCAAAGGGATGCATTCATTCATGCTACAACTGATCCTATAATCGAGCATCACGAAAATTACGTTCAACGAAGAAGCATCCAATACTCCAAACTTCTATTTGAATGAAAACTGATGTAGTTATTATTCAACTACTCACCACTAGATTTTTTTTCTATACAATCATCATTATTATTATTTATACAATCATATGATTATTGAATTCAAATACTCGTAAAAGTTGATAAATGTTGTTCACTCGATGTACATGCACATCCAATGACTGATATGACCACCATAAGACGTTTGTCATGCAACACGAATGTGCTGATGTAATATTTTATTTTATTCTAGCCAAACTTTTTCTGTTCCTTTATCTTTTTTGCGTTCTGCTGGGATATATGACCACACACACACACAAACACACACACACATACATACACTCAAACACGTATTGTTGGTCAGTGCTCTCCAGTGCATACTTCCGAATTATTAATTAATGGAACATAATCACAACCATCTCCGACCATATATATACATATATATATGAATATATATATATATTTATATATAACTATTGTAACGATATATATATATATACATATATATATATATATATTTAGTATATATAAACAATTTGGAAACTTGAAAAAATGATCGAGAAATAGAAGTGGTTGTAACGAAGTTTTTAAAGTTGTTACCAAATTAAAGTTTAATCTTCGTTGTTAGCCAATTGTAAAATACAAAAAAATTAACTTGAAAGCTAATCAAATAATGTTTTTTGACTTCAGCAAATCTAATTGTTATAAGAAACGTTAATATAAATAAGAGCAAAAAATTTATTTGATCGTTTCGTAGAAAGCATCAGCATTCGAATAATATTTCCATTTATTTTTTGTTGCATCGCTTGTGTTTTCACCATCTTAACCAAAATTAAAATATAATGGCAAATTTTCGGATGGGTCGAAGGAAGAGTTCCGTGTTCCGATCTGGAGCACGCTTGATGAGCCAGGAAATGGACTGCAGACCCCTCTTCACCGCCATGGATCGCGACTGCAACGGCTACATCGACAGGGACGAGTTGAGAGCAACACTGTGGGACGTCGGCATCCATGTTACTGATCCGGATCTTGACATCATGATGAAGACGGTTGGTGTTGTCATCAAAGACAGGATATTCTATGAAGGTTCATCTTATCTATCTACAAACTTTTTAGTTTTTTATATTTGAAATCAAAAAAAACATAATTGTTTTTTTTATCTAAATTGCATTTAAAGATTTCTAAAAGTTAATTAATAACAATGAAATAAATTATTTAAGATTTCGTAAAGATGATGGCCGGTACAATAGGAAAATCGCAGAGAAGGGTAGGTAAAACTTTCAACATTTTATTTGTAATTCGTGCTTAGTTTTAAATATGTTGAAAAAAAATTTATACCTTTCTCATTTTTATGACATAAAATTTAATTTTTTTTAATTCAAATTTAGATTTTTAAAATTCAACTTTTGAGCAATACAAAAACGCACTAAAACTTGTTCTTTAAATCTTCGCCACTACCACCACATGTTACTGAGTTGAGACAATTGAGTGCGTGACGCAAATTTCCACGCCAGTTCCACCTCATCACATGCATGTGCACATAGATAAAGCAAACGAATTACCAGATTTCTACCTTCGAGCGGATTTAAAACAAACATGTTGCAAAAAATATTGAAATTAGGTATATTGTCTTCAAGAAATCAAAACTTGTCGTTCAACGTCTTCATACGACTAAATCGTGTCGTCATCGTCTGCATTTCAATAACTTCGGCATAATTTTCTGAATATCATTAACCGATTTTATAATGCGAACTGTTTTTTTAATTGTGCTTTGCAATTACTTTCGAAAAATTATTGAAAAATGTTAAAAGCCTGATACACTCACCCAAATTTCAGAGAAATCTACAACACACAAAAAGCGTAGGTATCTGAAGCACCACACATGAAGCATGTTGTCATATTCGAACCAGGTTACTGCAGGCACCGCTAAACAGCACCAGGCGCCTTTCATAGCTAGGCCTCAACGTCTAAATTACAACATAACCTGCGAAAAACAATTATTTTCAATTTGGTTGAACGTATGCATGTGCAAAAGCTGTTTTTGAAAAATTTTAAACACAACGGAAGTGGCACTGTACAAAAAGCAAGTATTGGTTGACTGTCTAGGGTATGGTTAACAAATTTTAATTATTCATGTAAACTTTTTTTAAAATAGTGATATATATAGGGTTGTTAATGCAGAAGTATATTGTACTGGCGATACCTTTTCAGTAATGGTTTTGGCATCGGCAGTGGCAGGCAATAATTTTGATGCCGAGTGCCGAACTTGATGTCATGTTGCCGATATTTTTTGGACAGAGCAAATCCATACTCGATACCAATGCATTTGAACGTGGACATGATTCTATTTTAAATAAATCATTGAATGTTAAATTTCATACCACATTTCACAATGAATTATTAAAATATAAAAAGCCTTGAATGTAGCGGAAACGAATGCCTGTCTGCATCTAATAACCGCAGTTCTGATTGGAATATTAATGAACACTCGACGATCATTCGACCGATCGTGGCTAATGGATGCGATGGACTCAATGAATGATAACAAATTGCTAAAATGTAACTGCTGCAACTATTGCTACCGTTACTACTTTTGTGCTGCTAGTTTACTATTATTACTATTTTTGATATATTTTTAAAAAAATTTTGTCCGCTCTTGCGTACCATGGTAATTACTTTGGGAGCTTTTATTTGCCGCAGTGTTTTGTGATCTACTTGGGATCTTTGGGATGTTATTTTGTTTAACCCTTAAACACCGAAGAAAAAAAAACAACGTTGAAGTCGTTATGGGTCGAATCGACCCACGGTACATAAAAATCGTTTTTTTGCCACAAAAAATTAATAAAAATATTCTTAATTACAAACAAATTAAATTTAGCAATAACTTTAAACAATAAGTTATTAAAAATTTAAAAAATTACTTTTAAAACGTTAAAGATTTAAATACTTAAATTTCCTTTTTGCGGCAGGATATGTTAAACTTGTTTATATCAACCATACATTTTTCTTTCTGTATCAAATTAAAAATAAATGTGATTATATCTCGTCGCGTTTTTGCTCAAGAAGCTTTAGATATTATCCTTGATGATGATGATGAAAAAAGTGGAATTAAAAGTCTGGGTAGCCTCCCTGATGCTGAATATAAAAATAATGAAAATGTAGATTCAATGTCCAGTCCATCAACATCAATCAGGTCTGTTGAATATGACTTAGAAGAGAAATTTCATGCTGGAAAGTTTGCAGATGAGGAAAAAAATGGAAATAACAGAAATGATGATGACATCCTGGCTTGTAATTTTTGTGAGGATGATTCTAAAAGTGGTTCATGTTTGATGACAACTGATATGGAAAGGCATATATATGAATGTATTGATTCCGTAATTGAAGGGATTTGTGGAGCAATATTAAGTGCAGACGGCACTGTGTGGAATTCTAAGCCTTATTTGACTGGGAGAAGACAGTCTGTGAATGTAATGAGAGCAGCTGGAGGACTGAGTGTTTACGGACGTCGTCATTGCACCAATACTGCTCTCTCTATTTGGCAGATTTCCATGGACAATTCTCTGATCGATATAATTGTTGATTGTACTAACGACAAAGCTTCTAGTTTGGGTGCCAATTTTGTTACGAACAGAGAGGAAATCAACACTTTCATAGGTGTAAATATTTTAGTTTGGGTATATAAAGGGAAAGGAGAACCCGTGCGTGCACTTTGGTCAAAGTCAGAAGGCCGACAATGCATCAGACAATTTATGTCAAGGACTAGATTTGAAGAAAGGACAAAATTTATTAGATTTGATTTTACTAGCAGCCGAAGTACTCGACGTAAACTATCAAAGTTTGCACCGATGGGTGTGGTGTTTGACATATGGCAAGAGAATCTTGGAAAACCATTTATTCCATATGAGTATGTAACCGTAGATGAAACACTTGTACCATTTAAAGGCCGCTGCAGTTTCAAACAATATATGCCTTCCAAACCTGCAAAATATGGCTTGAAGTTTTGGTGTTTATGTGATGCCAAAACCGACTACTGCTTGAAAATGAAACCGTATTTAGGCACAGATAATGGTGCAGTGCGGGCAAAAAATTTAAGAAAGCAAGTAGTGTTAGATTTGACGGAGAACTTAGACATTGGCAGAACCGTTGTTATGGACAATTTTTTTACATCTTTGGAACTACTACGTGAGATACAAAATCGTAATTTGGGAGTCATTGGAACCTTTCGTAAAAATCGGAGAGAACTGCCACCAGAATTTGTAAAGAAAAATAGCAAAGGTGGCACCTCTTTATTTGATTTTTTACCTGAAGCAACCCTAGTTTCTTATGCACCAAAAAACACAAAAGAGTAGTTTTACTGTCAAGTGAGCACAGTAACGAAGAAATAGATGACCAAAGTAAAAAAACAGAAATAATATTAGTTTACAACAAAGGTAAAGAAGGAGTTGATCATTTGGATCAAATGTGCGCAATGTACACTACTCGAAAGCGAACCTTTCGTTGGCCAAAATGTGTTTTTCAACACATGGTGGACGTCACTGCATATAATTCATTCATCCTTTAACAAGAAGTAACTGGACATAAAAACAGAAGGCAATTTTTAAAAAGTTTGGGAGCAGAATTATGCGGTGGGGAAATTGATGACGATGGAAATATAAAGTTGATCCAATCTCAGTTAGCACCTGAATGTCAATCATCTATTAAATCTGGAAAACGGTTGAGATGTAGAAAATGCGTTTCAAACAAAACGGTCCAACGTTGCAACAAATGTTTGAATCCATTATGCATCAACTGTGTCAATTACCAATGTCATGACTGTTAATTTTATATAAATTTGATACTTGAATATAATAAAATGTTTATTTTATGTAAATTTGGTGTTTAAAATCAATAAAATGTTCAATATTATAATATCGTTTAAATTTTATTCACATGGGTCATTTCGACCCATGCGGTCGCGAACGTAAACACACATTTTTGGAAGACTGTTTTTATATACAAGATATCTGATTATTTAAAATCAAGCTACATTTATGAAAAGCTTATAAAAAATTAGACAAAGTCAAAAAATTTAAAATTGTTAGATTAAAAAATAAGCAAAATATGATTTTTTAAAAAGTGTGCATGGGTCGAAAAGACCTATGTTGGTGTTTAAGGGTTAAATTTGGTACTATGTTCATAATATTGAATATTAAAATTGGAAGAATGTAACAATTCGCAACTGTTGCACAAGATTATGATGAAGCCAGCGCACAGCAGGAAACTTTCAGAAATATCTCTGGTCAACGATGGCGAGGTTGAAGACAAATTGATTCAAGGTCGCTTATAATTGTTATAAATATAACCTGTCATCAGTTAGTTGAATGTTGTTTTTGTACACACTCATGTTTAACTTTTGCTTTTTGTACACGTCGTTTAATTTTTATTTGAGTGTTGTTAAATTTGAAAGTGTATTTTGTGCAGACATTTATGTTAAAGTCATAACGATGGCGAATTAATTATTCAAAATTATTTTTCATTTTCGCTTTAGATATGCGAATAGCTTTCGCAACGTTTGATCACGATGGAGATGGCTTGATCAGCACGTCGGAGACTCAGTTCACGATGGCCTCCATTGGATTCAAACCAAAACCAGAAGATGTTGCTCAAATATTCAAGGCAGTCGATAAAAATGGAGATGGTTTTTTGAGTTTTGAAGAATTTAAGGAAGCCATGCTGAATTACGAGGAGCTGACGGAGAAGAAGGTCTTCCTGCCTCCACCAGTGCCCGGTCCAGATGATACAGACAACATTCCGGCCTCCTACTTCCACATCATACTCGAAGGCAAGGATGACATTTTGAGTGGGACTGGCGTCATCGATAGCGATATAAATTATCCAGTGTCAAATCTTATTAGCGGAGAAGACGAAGAGGATGAGGAAGAGTTAGAATACTTTGGCGAAAATCAACAACAGTTCATGAAAGAAGCTTTCAAAATATTTGACAAAGATAAGGATGGCTTTCTAAGCGAAAAAGACCTGAGGTATTTATTGAATGAATTATTATCATTTTATTTCCCAAGATAAATTTTAGCATTTTTCTTGATGTTACAAAATATTTAAACACGTACACATGTGTTGCCTGCATCTTTTTCAAAGGTTCACCATGTGGCACCTTGGATTGGAATTGAGTCATGAGGATGCGCAGGCGATGCTGAAAGCACTTGGCATCAAACCCGGGGAAAAGATTTCCTTTGACGGTTGGCCAATTTGTTCAACCGACGGCGACGAATTCATTTGTTTCGTCTGTTGTATTGCGTGTGCGTGTGTATGTGCATATGCAAGAGTACATGGTTAAAAACGATAGCCACCAAAATTTACCATTTATTCCCTGCTCGCGCTGTGTAATGATGGTTTGTGGGTTTCGCAGAGAAGGGCATTTGGCAACATTCTTAAGAATACAAAAAGAATAAGTTTTTGTAAAATTATGGAAATATATTGTTTAATATAAATTATGTCATTAGGGTTGCCTAAAATTCCAACGATTGTGGTGCCAACAGTGTCAACAAAAAACTGTGTGATCTTGTCAACCGGGCAGAAAGTTTCAATGCAGACAGGGACAAAAATTTTCGTATCATTATTCAAGTCCTTATATTCGTTATCCTTAAAATTAGCCGCTTTTAAAGCAGCTTATTTTAATTCTGTGGATGTGTAACTAATATATCTTTCTGCGAATTTGTGAGAGAACGCAACGTCCCAGGTCAGAAAAAGTCCTTGAGACCTTAGAACTGTTAAAAAAAATTGTCAACGAGCGTGAATTTATCTCCAACATTCAATGATGATTTCAAATTTTTAGAGTCTACGTTCGTGACCGAGGTGTTACCATTGCGACCACTCAATGACTTTCAATGACCTCAAATATTCGGAACCTTTCACTTTTCCCCAGTGCCTGACAAATGTGCCATCTTGTCTGAGCTTGAAATATTTGGAACAAACGTGACAACGGGTTACAAAGGGTGGGTTTAATACAGAACTTTGACTTGACATAAATGCAGACAAATCAGGTGCTGTAACTATATATATATATATATATAAATATTCTGCGTTTGAACAAAATAAATGTATTATTGCAAAAGAAAAAAATTGATAAACGAGGAAAAATTAATGGTTGAAAAGATAATTATAAAATTATACGTGGCTATTGTGATAAATATGCATATGCAAGTGTATGTGCGTGTGTATGTGCATATGCATGTGTGTAAGTGTATTTGTGTGTGTGTGTGTATGTGCTTGTGCATGTGTTTAAGTGTGAGTCTATGCGTATAAGTGTATGTGTTTGCCCATTTGAAGTTACTGGAATAAAAAATATTTGGATTACCCAGTTAATGAACTTTCAACTATTATTTATTAAAATAGTTTTAAAATAAATTTTGCAGTATTTAGGAACATGTGGTTCGGAAGAACGGATCGAAGTTTAGAAGTAATCCATTTTTATACAAAATTTATTAATCTTGAAAATCGTAAAAAACAAACAAACGAACGAACGAACAAATTTATTTAGCAGTGGACAATCTTTTTTCGAAGGTCACATTGAGAATTTATTATATACATGTGAGCACAAATATTTAAAAAAGTTTTACAACCAATTTTTTGAAAACGTCAAAAAAATATTCAAAAGAGATACTTTTGAGATCGCGGTTTACAGTTAAACGTATTAAATTAAGTGGCGAAAAAACGGAAAAACCTCCCAAAAAGCAAATTTTTCCACACGGGAAACTGAAATACAAGAAATGTTTGCGGGCTGCCTAAAATGAATTTGCGAGCCACAATTTGCTCACCTCTTGATCATAAGTTGAAGATCATTCCTAATTACATTTTGAGTTTTGTTTCATTTTATCATCTAAAATAATCATAAATTTTCTATGCGCCCCCAAAAGAACATATGTTTGAAAAGCGCCCTCGTAAAGAGTTTAAGTCATAGACCAAGCATGATTCGTTAGTGGGTCGTTTCTTATTAATTTGAAATAAAAAAAAAATTTTTATAAATTAATATTTCATTTTATAAATTTATTCATAAAGTTATAAACTATTTATTATACAATTATTTATAAACAACTTTTCATGATAAATTATATTATTAAAAATCAATATTACAGCGGACCAATTCGATCTCTCGCCTTCTGATGTCGACTGGGACATGGCCCAGGAATTACAATGCCATGTGGATCAGAAAAAACACTATCAAGGTTTTTTTGTCTTATGAGTTTACAATAGATCAAAAACTTGAATTTATTTTAAAAATTGATAGCTTGAATATATCTTTGAATAACAAAAAATTCCATTAAAATTTTACAGATTTACTAAACTACGTTTTTCAAGAGTTTAGCGAGGAACTAAATGAAGTAATTTTGCTTTAAATCGCACTATAGACAAATATTTATAAAATGAATTTATTACAAGAATTCAAAAAATGTATTATTAAATTTAGAAATATAAAGAATCGAGTCGCGTGCGTAACGAAAAAAATATGCTTCCGATCTTATCGGAGTCTCAAGAATACGCCATGGAAGGTAACGATTTTGATATTTACTATCGAAAGTTAAGCAAATTTTTAAGCTACTAACAAAACTATTTCATCAACAATGCTAAAAAATATATATTATATTTTTAAAAAACTTTTCAGAAGAAAATGAAAATGAATCAAAGTCTAAACATTCTTCTATTGATAAAGATTTACCGAAAGAAAATTATATAATAAAAAAATCGCCAAAAAAAGATTTTACAAAAACAGATGAAATCAAATCATATACTCCTGATAGCAACATTGATTTTATATTTTCAAAAGCAAATTTGATTAACGAAACTCTTGACGTTTCAACGCGAAATAAAACGCCCTCACTCGCTGCACCAACCGGTCAAAGCACTGAAAATTACAAAGAAAAAGTTTTAGTTATCACCAAAAGAATCACACCGTCTATAAAACAATGTAAAACAATATCCAAAGAAATGTTCAAAACAATAAACGAGAGCGCAGCAGTTATTAACGATGAAAATAAAACAATAAACTCGGATAGAAACAGCTCTGAAGTCGTTTGGCCAGAAATGATTAAACATCAAGCTACTTTGTACGACATGCCAATAGTTGTTTCAATCAGCCAGTCGTTTGATTCAGATGTACATTCTCTCAGTTCAAGCAGAAACAATATTTACGAAACAATTCCAGCAAATACGATTTCGCCCAAAATTTCAACAAATTTTACAACAGCGTTTGACTCTAACTCTAGTTCGGCGTTTGAAAAGATGAAATCAGCTAGAAGAACCGAGTTTCTCAATTTATCAAGAATGACAAACAATGATAGAAGGCATCAAACTCAAACCTACCAGCCTTTTGTGTTGGATCCAAAATTAAACCAATACAGTGCAAAGACGACAGAATTTTCACTTAGCCCATTATATGATATCCCTTACGCACCGTTCCTTGAACCAAAAAGCAGTTTAAACGTTGAAAGCACGTCGTCATCTTCGTGTTCTGTGAAAAGTCATTTTATTACAACTACAAATCCTTTTTCTGAAACTTTGCGAAATTTATCAACATCAACAACACCAACTAAAATTTCATGCTTACCAACAAATAATTATCTGACAACTTTTCAAAATAAATTACCAAATTCAAATGTTTTGAAATCACCAGTTCTTTCTACTGGGAGTACATCTATCGATGAAAAGCTGCAAACTGGCACTGTCTTTTCTGATCTTAACAAATCTTCTTTTAATTCATACACGGAATCTGAAAAATATCCTTTTTCAAAAAAATATTCCACTAAACCAAATGCCGAAATTGTAAATAACAAAAATTCAAAAATGAATCCTAATCGCGAAAAAGTCGACAGCACTTCACAAATATTTCCGAAATCAGCAGCATCGTATATTTCTAGTGCTACTAACATTAAAATATTTGCATCAGATGAAAAACTGCAGCCTTGTTTTTCACCAGTATCCAAACTTGCAAAAGTTACATTTCCATTTGATTCAGGTACGATAAATCCATCCATCAATGCAACCACATCACCTACAAATTTTCAAACGCTTAAGCCTCCAGAAAAATCAATTTTAATAAAAACAACAGCTTCTTCAAGTGTGGGTCAAACAAAATCAGTAAATTTCAAACTTTCAATCGAAAATGAAGTTAAAATAAATAAAGGCAATTTCCAAAATAAAAACCCAGAACAATCTCAGTTTTATAGTTCAAAAACTGTAACCGACGAATATAACGCATTCGATACAAATCGACGCGGACTCTTGAAACAATCAAAAGCTTTCGAAAATAAGTCATTCACTGATAAGTCTCCTAAAACAGCATTGAACGATGTCGAAAATGCAAAAACATTGTCAGCTGCCGAAATGTTTGACCTGCTTACCAAACAAACTAAAGAAAAATTCGCAGCAGAATGTAAGCAAAAACTTCAACCTGAAAGCAACAAATTTGAGCAAAAAGATGTTGAAGGGAACAGTACACTGACTTTACTTACAATACGCCACTCTTTTAGCAGTGAAGATGCAAAAGAAAAAGGATCATCAAACACGGTTTTTGGAAGAATTGATCGATCATTTTCACCCATCAACATAAGCCAGACTAAATATTTGCCAAAAACGTATAGTCCAACAGTTGACACTTCTGCTAAACTTTCAAGCACTTTTACTATGTCTAATTCCAGAATATTGTCTCATTTTAAAGTAGTGGCTCCATCTTTAAGTGATCATATAAATTCCAAAATAATTCCAGTAGCTCATAGTTTTGAAAAATCAACGGCTACAGATAGTCAAGCTGAGGGTCATATCCACGACAGTACAATCTATCGCAATCATCCATATCCATTTAAAATAGACCCTATCCTGGATCAAATTACACCTACAACGAGGACAAACCAAGAAAATCGATTTTCGTCTGCCACACAAGACATAGCCCAAAAAATGAACAAAGTGAGTCATTTTGAAGGAGTCATTATTCCGCGAAACCGGAATTCTAATGATGCCAACAAAGCAACATCATTTATAAAACTTGAAAGGTACAGCTGGAAAGATGACGATATAACACCAGGTCCTTCAACAACATTCATTCAGCATGAAAGCACCAATGTCAAAGAAGACGACAAAACGATAAGACAATCAAATATTAAAATGAAAACCGCCACTATAGAAGGCCAGGATAATTTAACATTAAGTCAACGCATTGCCAGCGCTAGTGTAAGACCGGCGTGTTCCAGCGTAGAAAAACATATAAAAGAAGGTCAGAAAGTTGTGGTGACTCGCCTAGATGTTGCAAGGGGTGAAAATGTTTTGACATCGGATATGGTCATGGACACTTACAAACTGTACAAAGAGCCTTCCTCGACTTCACAAACCACAGCTATGAAATGGAATGCCGTGAGGCGGATGACGCAACACATGTTTACTGATGCTCAGGGAAATAGGCATTTCTTTTTTAGTAATTTATTGCAGTTACATTCAAATAAAAAATCTAATTATATATCAGTCTTATTATATAATATATATTTACTTTTGCGCATATTTAACTATGAAAACTGTGTGAAAATCAAAGTTAAACATTTATTTTTATGCTCAACAAACTAGTTGGATCATTGTTTCCCAGAAGATCCTGCTTCAAGTCGACAGATTACACTTGGAAGGCTTTCAAGGTTAGTTATAAAAATAGTTCAAACGTTCGCACTGGTTTAATGACTGTAAAATGAGTCCTGGTTAAATATATTAATATCATCGGTGCTCTTTGAATGAAACTTGTCCTTTGACGCCCATATACAAAAAAGTAAAAAATTTATTTATATTATATTTATATTAATTTATTTTTAGTTTTTAAAACAGTATTTTATGTTAATTCAATTTTTTTTAGCTAGCAGCTGTAATTTATTATGAGTGCTCAGTGTTCTTGTTAGTGAAAACAAAACGATTGAAGCGATCAAATCTTCAATTTATTAAAGCAAAAATTAGTCTTCTTTCAAGCATTTGTTTTTTAAAAATCGGGTTCAAGAAAAATAATTTTCATTAAAATTTTGTTGAAATATTACTTTGAACCAAGCCTCACCCTCATAAAAAAAATTGTCAGACAATTTTTTATATATAATAATATTAATATAATATAAATTATAATACATAGTGTTCAAGACGTTCTTTAACTCTTGATCCTTGAAAAAACTAAAAACCTTTAGTAGGCTTTAAAGCCTTTTTTAATCAATGACTAACCTAGTGTTTAGGTTGTTATTATAAAAATAAGTTAATATTAAATTTGAAATATATATTATTATATTAATTATTAATATATTCAAATAAAAAATAGGATATTGTTATTAATTGATATAAATTGAAGGTCGTAAAACGTAAACCAGGTATTTGATAAGAACCTGGATGGATACGTAAGTTTGTTCGAATTATGTAAAACCTTTAAAGACCTCGGTATGAAGAAAACCACATTTGAATTGTGCAACATCATGGACGAAACCGATTCAAACAGGGATGGCATGATAGATTACTTTGGTATCATGTTAACATGATAATTTGTTAATTACGATCTTATTTTCTACCATAATATCATTATATGACATTTTGTATTTTTTATATTAATTTTTACGATTACTTAGATTTAAAAATTTTTTTCGATTAATGTTAGAATTCGCTCGTATGTTCAAGAGAAGCACCTACGAGTTTTGTGCGAAAAGGGCAAGTAAAGATTCTTGTTATAAATTTAAAAATTTCTTTATTTAATGTATGTAGAAACAAAATTTGTATTTTATTGCCTTACTCACGCACCTTTTGGTGGTAACACTTTTCATAATGACTATTAAAACTATTTTCATATGACTTAATGTGGAACGGAACTACACATAAATCCACGGTTAAAAACGAGTTGACAAAATACGAGAAAGTAGATTTGACAAAATACGAGAAAGTAGATAATTGTAATTAAGTTCCTTCAAGTCTGATAGATACGCCCAAGAGTAAAACTTGGAAGTTTGGTGTGATAGATAAATGTTTACAGCTAAATACTGCGGCACTTTTGTTAGAATTATTAACTTATTATAAGGTTTCTCGTTATTTCGATATTTTCTTAGCATAAAATTTGCACTAAGAACTTTATAAGATTTGTATACGTGAGAATGAAATAATGTTTTCCACATTGTTTATAAATGACAGGCGGCAGAACTTTATGAGGTACATTCTTCCGCCAGGCACGACCATGAAGGTTATTTTTAATATCAATTTCTTAATAACACCGAAAAAGTTATAATTTTATATTAGCCTTCTTTTGTTGTGATCATCGGCGCAATCATCCTTTCAAAATAAATCATTTATTGTCATAATAATTTCACTTTCATCACTTTCGTAATTATCATCAGTCTTAGCATCGTAACTTAGTTACAAACGTTTTGCCTTTTGCGCAGATCTCTTAGTTCGCAACAAGTACAAGTACTTGAGCAGCAAATGCAGTAACGCAAGTGAAAGCAGCTGGGTGGAACAACTGAGAACTGTCTTTAAAATGACCGACACCGACTCTTCTGGAAAGGCCAGATTGTTTGATCTGAACAAAAATTTAAAGTCCATAACAGGCGATAAGAGCAAATATCTTGGTTACGATTTGTTCCAGGGATCTCTTGCCAGGGATGCCAGGAAAGTAAGCTTTGAAGGTCTGTATCAAAGCGAGCTCTTCCTTTACTTGCATTCAATTGCATACGTTAAACTTAAATTAACAATAAATGTTTAACTTATGCAAGCAATTATAAAATAACACTTGCAAAAATTTTAATTCAACTAATGTAATATTTGATAGAACAAAGTTATAGAATAGAATTTATTAATTTTTTTTTAAAGAGTTTTACAAGATGATGTTTGAACATCAGAGAGAGAAAATGAATAAACAACCCATCAAATTAAACCGATGTTAATAAATAATCGACATCACAGTTTATAGATTTTATTTCATTCTTGTAGCATCAATTTTAATTTTTATATCTCAAGATAAAAATAATGAAACGGCTTGCTTTAACGGGTTTGAATTTGAACGTTAAACTCATTCAAAGGACATTGCAACTGTTACGTTGTGTTCTGTATCACATCTACCTATTGTTCGTGCATTGCTCAATTGATATATATATATATATATATTTATATATATTTATATATATATACATACATACATATATACATACATACAATGAACGAAAACTCAAGAGCTAAGACATAAGACTGTTTACGAGCAGCATTATATGAAGCTGTGACACAAAGATGCACTTGATGAATTTGTTAGCATGGATCATTTACGAGATACATTACATGCAACACGCAGACAATCTGACGCCCAAATGAGCTTGGTTTGACTTCATGGTGCTGCAAATATAAAGTCGATTAAAAATTTATATAAACAAATACGTTGTTTCGAGTGAAATCACTTTGTAGACAATTATCCATCCACTTTCTTACACCTATCCTGTCAATCCATTTGAAATCAAAAGTCCTATTTTTTTGAATTGAAACAAAAACAAATGAAGTTTTTAAATTTATATTAACATAACAAGAAGCTATTTAGTCAGATTTACAATTTTGTCATAAACGTTCAAAATTAGTGAAAGAAAAACTAATAAAAGCAAACAAATAATTTCTGTTAATTTTAAAAGTAAAAAACTTATCGTCCAGCAAAAAATACGAAAGGTAACCGCTAAAGGTAAACAAATTTACTTTCTTTCATTTCATAGCTGACTGAAAAAAATTGAGGGGAAGTGTGATTGCTGATCCGTACACGTGTTAGAATTCAAACCACATTAAAATACACATGAGTTAATATATGTTAATATCAAGATATCATGAACGTTCATTAGATGGTTAGAAAGCACCGAAAACATTAGGAGATTTTTAAAGCGAGTGCGACGTAACTTAGCTTCGTTTGAACGAAATGCTAACACTAATGTTTCTAAAGCTAGTTTCTGGTAAAAGGCAGATCGTATCAAATAATGTATGTATGTGCACACGTACATTATCTATTTATGTCTATGGCTGCATGCATTTGTGAACTTGTGTGCGTGCATACGTGCGTGTGAAGGCATTTATTCGCCATCCCACGCTAAGGCCTTTTGATTTCAAAGTTAACTTAATTAAACGGATAAATAAAATTATTAATCGTCAATATATAAATAAAAATAAATATATTATCGAAATACACGGGTCAATAATTTATATGTACAGTTAAAATGAATTTTTGTGATTTATATATATATATATATATATATTTATATATCTATATATATATATAATAGATTTATATATATATGTATATATATATATATATATACGTATAGCTTATAATTCCTTACAGATATATTAATTAGACGAACAAACGATGAAGAACTTAAAAAGGGATGAATGATGATGACGACGATGAAAAATGTTGCATATTCAACCGCTATAAGCAATAAGGCAACAATCCTATAACAACAACAAAACAACAATGGTGAAAACAACCATTTTTGAAACAATAACAAAATTATTATTATTACATTAGAATTGTTATTTATTATTATCATCGTTTAATAGATTGTTTGTTCACAAGACCATTTTAGATTGCATGAATGATGACGTGCGGTTGAAAACAGTCGAAAAGTATTGTTGCTACGCAAACTTCAGTGTAACGATTAGGCAGTTGCTGCTGCAGTTGGTTCATCTAGGTAAGTGTTATCTGCTGCTAATGTAGAACGTTTACGATGCTGTGCATGTGATGAAAAGTACATTTGAGGATACGAATTCAGATAATAAATGACAGATCTCTTGTTTGGTTGGATGAAAACTATAACAAAAAATTAAAAAAATATGAACAAAATGAAAACAAAAAAAATTGCTATAACATTTCATTTGACATTTTGGCAAAAATTAACTGACGAAACATCCCAACCACTAAAAGATGTGAGGATTATCGAGAAATTCTTGAACACACTATTGCAGAGCGCAGCCTACATTCCTCAACCGTTCAACCTTCCATCCAACTAACTCAATCCTAATCATTTGTTCGCCGGTTTAATTCAAATCCTTACCTTTCCATCATTTATACCCAACTGTTGTGAAGGCGTTTGTGCCTCTAAGTGAAAACAAGACAGTAAAAAAGTACAAAAAAAATATCAGTTACAAATTAAACAATCTACCAATAAATAGTTAAAACAAATGTACAAATAGAAAAAAATGCATGCACGTGCTTGTGTGTGTGTGTGTGTGTACGTGTAGATATGTGTGTGTATGCATGAATGGCTATGGCATTTGTAATAAATTAAGAAATGATGTGTATATATATATATACTATATATACATATATATGTATATCATTATGTGTCTGTAAAAATGAAAAAAAATGAAACAATGGAACATAGAACAGTCTTTTGAAGACTTGAAGGACAAGTGATCAAACATCAGGAAAGTCATTTCTTCTCGGAACCTGGCAAAATAAATATCGTTGGTCAGTTTAGTCAGTTAGTAAAAGTAGGTCAGTAATATAAAGTCAAGTTAGGTGATTTAAGTATTGTTAAGGTTAAGTTACGCTAAGATAAGTTGAGAAATAATTTATAACAAATCGATAATAACAGGTACATATTAACGGAGAAAAAAATCTCAGCGAGTTTTTGTGTCTCATTATTTGGCAGTGGGACAGGCAATCAATAGAAATAACAAAACACCAATCAAAAATATTTAAAATGTTTATAAACATATAGAGCATGCATATACAACGAATCATGTGAAAAATTAGTTGATGGATGAGTAAGTGAGTGAGTGAGTGTGAGTGAGTGAGTGGATAGGTGAGAGAATGGGTGAGTGAGTGAATGAGTGAGTGAGTGTATAAACTCAATAGATGCGCTGAATAACTAACTGCCTTGCAATGTTTTTGAACAGCAAGCTACGCATGGCAAAAAACAAAAATATTTCTCCGACCATTCATTCATATCATTATTCATTGGTCGTAAAGTTATATATTTTATATATGTATACATGTGTGTGTGTATGTGTATGAGTACGTGTGTCAGTGTTTGAATACAAAGATAATAAAAACTATAAATTAAGAGCTATATAAATTCAGAAAACAAGATAGCCCCATATAAATGCATGTGATGTTGTAAATAGACAATAGGTGAAAAAATAAACTGAGTAAAAACTAATAAAGAGAAGACAAAATATCCGCTTATAATTATATAAACTGTAATTATGATGATGATGACGACGACGATAATAATAATAATAATACAATTACTTATATTTAATAATAATATGACTCATGGAAAACTATAACATTCCTTCCAGCTGGTTATTGGGGTGAGATGAAATATTAACATTTATGGAGAAATATAATCATAAACTCAGCTTATTATTTCAGTATCATAATCATTTGTTCGTTCAATCACTCTCAATCACTCTCACCCACTCACCCACCCACTCACTCACTCACTCGCTCACCCACTCAACTCATGCAAACACAACACACAGACGCACACATACACAGACATACAAACTCACAGACGCGCGCACGCACACGCACACACATTCACTTACACACACTCACTCACTCACTCGGAGAGTAAATTAAGTGAATGTGGGACAAGAAGCACTGATGCATGTGTATAAGATGTGATCTTGAGATGTTGCTCGTTAGGTTCAACATCAACACCCTGCATGAAATAACTTTAAGATAAAAGTAAACAATGCAAGGCTTGTGTTATGGTTAAGATGATGATGACGATGATGACGATTAAGATGATTATATCACAACAATGAAATCGTTTAGGAATGTAATTATGATGGAAATATATCTGCTGATTACTAAGACGACGACGATGATGATGATGATACATTCCAATTAAATGACAACAACGTCAATATTGATGATGATGACAGCAACATCGATGGTGATGATGATGATTAAAAAGTTGTAGTGATGATCCCAATGCCGATGATGATAACAACGCCAATAAAACGGCGACAATATTAATGATGATGATGAGGAAGATGACGATGATGACGACAACATCAACAATGACGATGAAATGTTGGAAGAGAACATTGTTTGTATGTTCATCATAAGAAAGAACCAATGATGTTACAAACTGCTGATGAATACATAGCCAGCAGGGTAGCAGCAACAAACACGTGAATGTACACGTCAGGTTGTACCGTACTGCACATGTTTGTGTACAAGGAAAGATTTTTATACCTTTATGTGTATATGAACGTAAAAGCATGCGGGTGTGTGTGCGCGCGCGTGTGTGCGGGTGTGTGTGCGAGCGATTATGTTTATCAACAAGCACTAATACTGTAGCACTATGATTACACACGCCATAATAAACATTTGTAACATCCAAGCATGTATGGAGTAACGTGATGCAAGCACAACACAAAACCATTTAACATAACATTGCATGGTATAACATAACAACACAGCATAACTAACGTAATATAACCTTGCATAGCATAATTTAGCATGACATAAAGCATACAGAAATACTCCATAAGTGGAATGGAATGATTGATAAGATATCGGCCCATTAATATCACATTACCTTAATTATCTCATAAATACTTAATTGCCTCATTATAATATAACCCTTATGTAATGGTTATTATCAATCGTCAGTCATCATCGCCACAACCAGATCATAACGACTCAGTCATAACCACATACATCGTGACAGACAACCACCATTGTGATATCGTTATCATCATCACCATCATCATCATTCCTCTACTTCATCATCATCTTTAACAACATTATAATCAACATCATCATCCCAATTCAGAGCATTAAAACTATTGTTGCAGGTTTTACCAGAAGTAAGACAACTTATCCAAGAAAGTTTAAAACATTTCCAAAACATTTTACATCATTTTAAAAATATTTTAAAACCTTTCACAGGCTTATTACTACACTATACTATACTATACTATTTTTCTGAGTTTAGAAGTGCCTCTAACAAATGAAAAGTATTTCACGCTTCAAAATCCATTTTTAGAAAAATCGGCATCATAGAAAATTTAGAGTTGAGAATGGACAATTGTCCTTTTCACAAGACTCGTGCACACGAACACAAAAAAAATTTAATTCAAAAATATAAACACGCATAGAAACAAGCGTACAAACACAAATACAGGATACACCAATAAGCAAACAAAAGAACAAACAAAAAAGCTTTACATGCAGAAGCACAAATCTGAACAAACAAACGAACGAACAAACGAACGAACGAACAAACAAACGAACGAACGAACAAATCTGAGTAAACCTTTCAAGTGTGATTCGAGTAGGGACACAACGAACTGGTGGCCTGCCCCCTGTGCTATTGACAGTGCTGTCATGCCGTCCTACATGCATTAATCGGATCATTCATTCAATCATTGAATGAGTGAGTGAAAAAATAAATCAAGGAATGAGTTGTTGGATGGATAAAAAAGTACACATCGAATGCACAGCGTACTTTAAATAAGCATTATCAAATAGTTGTATGATGTAGCAGCGAAGATAATTTGTCAGTCAGCAAGCAACTCGTTTTCATCAATTTACACAACTGCACACTATTGAATAACGATAAAACATCGATAAAACATGGCTACAGAGCTGCATGTAACACAACAGAATCCACATATTCGACTGTACAACACACATTAAATAGAGAAGACGATTTTAAATGAACATGAAGCACATGTTCAATGATAACAAGTGAACTTTAATTATCCAGACAGATGATAAGCAAACAGCATGCATAAACTTTTGAAGAATTATACCGAACTTACTTTATCCTTGGCTTGAACGTCACATTTGCCTGTTGCCAGGAGAGATTTCACAATATCATAGTAGCCTGTGTGGTTTTAAAGGAAAGTTCAATGGACATTAAATCCTACAATCAGTACACAAACAAAGATGCTACGTCCGCTGCAGACCAATGAATAAATAAATACGCTACCTGGGAAGAAAGTGGAAATTTGATAAATAAATGATAACATGAAGTTAATTAAATATACAGAAGATAATTACAAGTTGAAAATCATGCAGATGGAAAAATATGTGCATGACCAATGCCAGATAGCGTTAAAAATGGGATCAAACAAATTTAACAACAAATGGCCACAAATATCACAAAAAAACATAAGAAGCAACTAAACAATATATGGAAAAATGACACAACATAATATAGCAAACAACACAACATTTGAAACAACAGCGTAACATTAGAAACAACAACACAACAAATGGAACAGCAACACAACAAATGAAACAACAAACAAAAAAATGAATAAATTAGCCTGACCTTTTTCTGAGGCACACATGAGTGCAGATGACCCATCGGCGTCTTGCACGTTGACGTCACATCGTGCATTGGACAGCAACAGGTTGACAGTTTCCAGGTGGCCGTGTCCAACTGCCAACATCAAAGGTGTCTGACCGGTCGACTGGCAGAGTCAATTTAATTATAAAATGCATCACGACTGATGGATGGAGTCAATAAATGGACAGCTATTCAAAAGTTAGTGAAGGGACAAATGCATCAAATAAACGGAGCAAATAAACGCAAGAGAGGTTAGAATCAGGAGTTGACAAGGAGTTTCTAATCATTATAAAGTTCACTAAGTGATGCTGAATTATTAAATATTTGATTTCAATGAAAAGATAATTAATATTAACTGACATCAGTTGATTTAGCGTTGACGTTGCCAAGTGTGAAAAGTTTCTTCAATAAATCTCTGTTGGAATCTGTCGGCACAACAGTCAGTGCGGCGAGCATCAGTGGAGAGTAGCCAGCGGCATTTGATTGGTCGACATTTGAGACATTCGTGTTGAGGATTGCGTTGGCAACATCCATGTTGTTGTAAGATATAGCGTAATGTAGGACTGTGTTGTGCTGTTGTGTGTTCAAAGTCTCAAGTTAATAACATATTGAAATGAGTCAACAATATGCTAACTCATAGAAACACAAGATTGCAAGAGTAAATTGTAATAAGAAATTATTGTAAGCACCGGATGAGCTAATACCAACATTAATATCAATGCAGTTGACGACGTGTTTATGTAAGTCAGCTGAAAGGTTGCTGAGATAAGAAAGAAATCCTTCAACGAGGTAGGCACTTGATTCCTTGGACCCTGCCAGATGGAACCATCTCTTCTGTATTAAAGTCTTGCACTGGTCCTACGTTGTTCAGTGTTATGATGGGCTAATTTATTTTATTATTTACAAAGAAATCCACGATAATGATTGACAGTTAAATGTTTCCTCAAAATCATCCAGAATGAATAAACGTTAAAAATAAATTTCTTTTAAAAAGTTAACAACTTTGATAAAAGGAAATTGCATAATAATTACGATCATTATTATAATTTAAAATATTTTGGCTACATAATGATGGAGAACAGTGGTTATCTACATAATCATCAACAATATTCAGAGGATTATTTTTGATTGATTGATTGAATGAATGAATGAATAAAAGATCAGGTGAATTAAAGAGAAAACAACTAACAAGATCTCCTTGTTTGACCTTTGACCTGTCCTTCAACCAGAGAACGTACATCTCGCAGGCTGATGATAATTCTTGATCAGGAATGAACCTGTTGTGACGTCAATTTCATCAGAGTAAACCACTTCATCGTCATCGTCACCGCCAACATCATAGTCACAATTATTATTACATTACTGAAATATCAATAAAAAATTTTTTTTAAATATTCGTGTTCAATTAATGGTAAATCATTTGACGCCAACTTTTCAGAAGTGATGCCAGACCTAGCGAAACCGAAAGTACTCTTTGAAAAGTCAGAAAAAGTTGACGACATGGACGATTTCTCAAAATTTGGTATCGATTCGTAATGAGACTGAGAAGTCGATGAGCTGATAATCTGTCCCGTGGCCATGTCAACCTTCTCCGTTGTAATTGTCTTGATGTTGTCCGGTCCATAGGATTCACGAATCACAGTTTTCACTCCCATCTGGTTGCCACTAAATGTTAATTTACCAGCGCCATCCTGATCCTAATTCATTAATGATATTTAATAACTGATGATGTAAAATATAATTATCATAAATTATTAAATTCTACAATGACATTCTACATCATGACATTCATTAATATGGTAAAATACTAAAAGTAGTTTCACAAATGGTAATAACAAAACTCATATATAAATGCACAACCTTCAATGCTCCAGATCCGCTTATCGAAGAAGTTGTAGTTCCGAAAGTCTTGGACGATTTTTCCAAGGATGAAGTACCACCACTACCAGTTATGACCTGAACAGCACCACCTCCGGTCACCATAGCTGAGAGACCTTCACCACTTCTGACATCACTAACCACACCACTGATCATCCTCTCATCAAACTCCACCCTCGCACCAAACGATCCATCATCTCCTTCCAGACTCCTGTCAACTTGTCCATCTTTGTTCAAATAAATTTTTGTTGTCTGGTAGCCTGGACAGTGAATTTGAGTACTTATCTGTTTGCCATCCTGAAGTGTGGTGACGAAATGCGTACCATCCTTAGTAATGCCATCGTAATCTTTTGTGGTCACCGTTTTTTCAGTGTAGTAAGAGGGACTCCTTTGGCCACTTGCCACTTGACTGCTGCCAACAGATTCACTTTTGGAGATGGACGTGGTTTCAATGGAACTGGTTTCAACCTTTCCTGACCTTCTTTCCGGTGCCACAGGAACCCCAGATGTGTAAGATAAGTATTGCTCAGGAAAACCAGACATTCCAGGAACCAATGGAATTCCAACGGTTTTTCCATCAGTGCTTGAATAACTTTCTTTGATGATAGTTTCTGTATAACCTGGTCCTTTTGTTTCAGTGATCAACTGAGTTCTACCATCTGATCCGGTAGATCTTTTAGATTCAGTTACTCTATCTATCCCCAACATCTTGTTAACATTTCCATCATGTAGGACCTTTCTACTCAAATAGGGACTGCTACTCGTGTCTGTAGTCGATTGCACCACAGTTGAACTTGTGTAACTTTTCCCATCACTTGTTCGAGATCCACTGGACACTCGAGTACTACCTTCAGGTCTTGATCTTGTTCTGCTAGTTTTTGTATAACTGACCAAATAACCTGGGGTTACAGTTTCCTCAACATATCTTCTGTATCCTGTAGCTTTTTCCTCATCTGTCCTGATCTCTTGCACTCCTGATTGGGATTCAGAAGATACCATATAGGAAGAACTTTGTTTATTGGTTGTACCGATTCTTTGTTCATACTCGTCACTGTCCATTTCTGTGTTCACCCGTTTATTGAACATGTCAACATCATCTGTCATTGAACCGGTAGTTCTGTATTGATCCATTGCAAAGAATGTAGACAGCTCTGTTCCTGTCTGTGAAGTAACAAGACGCTTTGGTTCAGTCATGATGCCCATAGAAAAAACCTGTTTGGGGTCTGTATTAGATCCCTTTTCTAAAAATAATCCTTGTGTGCGAGTGTTCGTGCCAACATCAAGTTTGTATATAAATTCAGTTCCAACACATCTGTGAGAAAGAGATGGGCGGTTATCAATAGCAACCGATTTCATGACTCTTATTGGGACCACATCGACATCTATCGTATCATCACTAACACCCACTGAAGCGATATCATATCCAACTCGAGCAGCATCTGTTCCCTTGTTCTCAGTTGAGAACTGACACTGAATGCCGACACTGTGAATTTCTCTTTTGAGCAATTCGTCCAGGTAGGCTTTCAATTGATCGCCTCTCATGCCTGCAAGACCTCCCTTGAGATTGGTCAGTGTTGTCTGACAGAAGCCACTACTTGCAAAATAGCTTTCTTCTCCACCAGCCATCTGATCAGTTGTGGAAACTAAATCAGCCCGATTCAATGCAACAGAAGTGGTTCTTTCAGATTCAGATATTCCAATTTCTCCAGCACCGACAGAAACATTACGAACCATTGGTTTCTCTTCCTCGCTGGTGTGCATCATGCCAACGTCGCGCATGGCAGCTTTGCACAGGATACCAACATTACGTGTTGCCAACTTGCTGGCGTCGGCTCCTCCTAAGTACACAGTCCTCAATTCTTTCTCGTGGACTTCAAACTTTTTCTGGTTATCCTCAAAAACATTTCCATCCCCTATTCCAATGCTTCTTGTTTCTTTTTGGACAACTTGTTGCTGAACGCCTTTTTGAACAGTGGGCTGGGTAGTTGTGACCAGTGAAAACTTATCATCAATACCGGTAACAAAAATGGTTTTGATTTCCTTTTCTCTGATTTCCGTAGTCTCTTCAGTATTCAATTCTTTTTCATGAATTCGTATAGGTTGCTGACCATCTGTTACTTTTTGAACAACCAGCTGAACTTCTTCATCAACCTTATAATCACCAACACCAATATCTCGAGTTGATTTTTGCTGGGATCTCATTTTTTCCTGAAGTTTCTGTAATTTGCAATTAGAAAATTAATGGTCCGTCTGTAACAATAAAAATATAACCGAAATTAAGATTAAAAGTTATAAAATATAAACTCACCCTCAAGTCGCTATCTAATTCTTGCTTTTCATTTTCCAGAATAACGATTCTTCTCAGAAGTTCTTCCCTTTCTTTGATCCAAATTGGAGTAACAGGCTGTACGATAAATTCATCATTTTTATTATTTAAAAAAAACAGATTCATATGTAAAAATTGAATCCTGGTGCAACACACATGAATAATAAATAATAATAATTTTATATTGTAATAATGTGAAATGCATATCTTGGGTCATCTCTGCTGAATATAACAATGCAAAATAAGATGCTTACATTTAACATTCAATCTATACAAAAACAAACAAAATTAATAAATAAAAAAAAACAAATATAAAAATGTCTTCAAAGTTAGTCAACATTAACAAATGCATGTACAATATATTATGATCAAACATACATAAAAAGCATAAATTGAGCTAACTATAGTTATATTATTATATTAAAATAATATTTTGGCTAAAATCTAGATAACAAACATCTATAAAGTCAAGCAATGTCTCATTAAAATTAAATGATCCTGGATCTTTGAATATAGCAAGACTAAATAAATAGGAAAAAACTCTATTATAACATCTTCAATGACTAAAATTAAATTAATGCTCCAAAAAATAACAACTCCATACAACAAGAAAATTAACCCTCTCAACTTCCATCCTGTCCAGGAAATCTAGATCAAGAGGTTTAGGAGCTTGACCGACTTTGTCACGAGCTTCCTAATTTATCAAATGAGCAAAAAATAAAGGCATATATAAATAAATAAAACATTTTTTGGGATTATAAATAACTCAGAAAATAGACTTTTAGTTGACGTTTAATTGCAGATAGTGGCAATATTAAAAAATTGAAAAATAATTGTAATAAAGTATTTAAATGGACCTTATCTTTCTCATCAACAGGTTTGGGTGCAGCTTCATTTACATATGTTCTCAGTGGACCTCTCTGATCAACTGGCTGAATGAGTTGTAACCTTCTCTGCAACTCAACGAGAGGTTTCTGTCGTGGCAACAATTTCTCACCTGGATCAAAACCAGGTGATGATGGCTCTGGAGATGGATCTCTTGGTCTTGGTCTTTCATTTTTTGGTTTCCTTTCTGGTTTTTCATATTCATCATTAGGCTGTTTATCATCTTCATCTGAATCCATGTTGATGATTGTTGTTCTAGTTCTGTGAACTTCTTCAATAACTCTAGTTGTAGTTGCACCATTTTCGCCAATATAAACCATCTCCTGCCTTTTCACATCATTACCATCAGGGCCTGTGTAACCATTGGTAACAACTGCTGTGGTGTTGTTTGTATTGATGTAACCATTTGTTCCACTATGTTGCTGGTAACTACCAGAGGAAGATGTTGTGGTGTTGATGTTCCGTCCATAAAGAGCTACAGCATTCTCATATGTGGGCTGATCATCTTTCTCAAATTGTTGATGAGGCAGAGTGCTTGTTGATGGGTATGGTGATCTGCTGGAGTGATGCACTTTTGATTGCAAAGTAGAAATTTGATGCTGTGGATGTGGTTGTGGGGATCTTTGGAGAGGAGGCTGCATTTGATGTGGTTGGTTTGGAGTAAAAGATTGAGAACCGATTGTAGCTGTGTTAGTAGCATTGACGATGGTGGAATCGGCTCGTTGTTGAAATTGTTGTTGTTGCATCTCGTGTAGAC